ACTACTGTTTCTATTGGGTTTCATCTCTAGTCTACCCCAACTTGTTTGGGACTAAAAGGCTTTGTTGTAGTTGTATGGGTACGAGTTTCTCTTCAATAACTGGAAGCCCTGAAAAGGTTGATTTGATAAAAAGTTTGGGACTTACTCTTGAATCGTAAATGTTATTTGTGAATTGTTATATCCTTAATTTCTCGTTTTTCGATTTATTGATTGCAGTTTCTAGATAGACCTGGAATTTCGTACTGCACCAGGACAGCCTATGATGAAAATAACATCACCAACGCTGTTGAAATATACACGTCTAGCCGGTAATTATTACTAGTTAAAACTTATTTTTCGTATATTAAGATACTCAACTAAGTTGGCTCTCTTCTTGCAGTGGTGCACTTCATTTTATAGCTTCGAACAATGATTGCGGAGTTCGAGATTTCGATGTGGAGAATTTCAAAATAGCTAGCCATTTTAGTTTTTCTTGGCCGGTCAATGTGAGTTCTCTCCCCTTCTCTCTCTCTCTCTATCCATCTCTCTCGTGCATCTAATTCGTCGGTTGTTTTCGTTGACTCTTGCAGCATACTTCTCTAAGTCCGTGTGGCGAAATTCTCATAGTAGTTGGAGATGATCCTGAGGGCCTTTTGGTGGATTCTAGGACTGGACAGGTATATTAAGTATTAACCCAAAAAAATCCAATTCTAACTCAAAATCTAATACAATTTTAACTCAACCTAACTATCTTTATCTTTAATATTATCCATATAATTAAATAATATCAATTCAATCATTCTTACACATCAAATCAACTTTAATTGTTTTATTTTAAACATTATTTCAATTCAAACTCAAAATTCCACCAACAACTAACCATAACACAATTTTCAATATTAAGCTGGTTTAAAAAGAAAAAAACCATTTTAAACACATATATTTGTACCAAGCACACCCTATATGTCGAGTAGCTTCAATTTTTTGCGATATTTATTGATAATAATTGCTGGATAATTGCAAAAATTTATCTTTGTTTATTTGAAAAACATGTCGATTTTAACGTAACATTTTTCTAATTTTTGCAGCAATATTTTTCTAATTTTTGCAGCAATATTTTTCTAATTTTTGCAGCCTATTGTGACACTAAGCATACCACATTTTAATATTATTTTGATATAAACTCAAAATTCCACTAACCACTAACTATACCACATTTTTTAAAATTAACTATGGTTAACGAAAAAATCAATCAAAACCAAATCAAATCCATATCCAATCACACCCTAAATGTCGAGCAGCTTCAATTTTTTTCTTTATTTACTGATAATAATTGTTGGATAATCGAAAAAAAATGATCTGTGTATTTGAAAAATAAATCGATTTTCACGCAACTTTTGTTTTTTTAAATTTTTGCAGCCTATTGCGACACTACGCGGACACTCAGACTACTCCTTCGCGTCAGCATGGCACCCGAGCGGGACAACCTTTGCCACCGGGAACCAAGACCGAACCTGCCGAATTTGGGACATCAGGAATCTCTCCAAATCGGTGGCCACCGTGCGTGGACAGCTGGGGGCCGTCCGATCCATCCGTTACACGTCCGACGGCCGCTTCATGGCCACAGCTGAGTCAGCAGATTTTGTACATATTTACGAGGTTGATAGTGGGTACGAAAAAGAGCAGGAAATCGATTTTTTCGGGGAGATTTCTGGAATATCTTTCAGTCAGGATGAGGGGGAGACACTTTTCGTAGGGGTATGGGACCGAACTTATAGCAGCTTCATCGAGTTCGGTAGGCGAAGGCAGTATTCGTACCTTGATTCTACCGTTTAAGGTTTGGTTTAGGAATTTGTCAGGGAATGGAAAGGGTTAAGGGTTTGTGTGTATATAGGATGAAGCTTTTGTTTTTTTGGCCCTTCTTTTTCACTTATCCCACATCGTTTTATGCAAGAAAAACAGCAAGTGCAGGCTGGTGAAAAGCTTGTTTTGGATAAAAATGAAATGTATATTTATTATCATGAAGGTGTGTGTGACGTGTATCTGATTTCTGTACCTATCCAAATTATAATTTCAATTACGTGAGTAGTTAGTGTATGTGGCCCTTTTTTTGATTTAGGATAAAATGAGAGAGATTACAAAGTCTAGCCTAACAGTTAGACATGGCCAAAGCCGGTATCGGGCCAAAGGTTGAATGGCCTTGAACCTACCCGAACATATACACCGGCTCTGCTCACCAAAAAAAAAATAAATTAATAAGAATTTTAAAAAAGAAGGGGCCGAATCGTCGGTTCCGATTTTGAATCCGGTGGTTTAAAAAGCAAATATATGTGGTCCCAAACTGGCCTGGTCAAATCAGGGGCTCAGTTCAAAACCCGTTGACCACATGCCGGTTTCGAACAGGTTCGGGCTGAACCAGCCAATGGACGTGCCTACTAACAATTAGACACTCATATTCTTTTAAAAATTAAAGTGTAACATTCTACAAGACATGATAAAAAAATATGATACTTTTCTAAGTATGTATTATATACTGACTGATCAACTCGTCTAACAGTAATAGTTAGATGGATCAACCCGTATAACAATTTATAGTAGTTAGACCGCTTCACCCGATAATTTGTGAAAGAAACATAACCATTTTCTCTTTCAAAACGTGAATGGATACATTATGAACTTAAAAAAAATAAATAAATAAATAAATAAATAACCGAAGAGTTGGGATAAAATAAATCGATGCATAAGGGTTATTGAAGTTTCACGTTCTTGTTAATTGACAGCCGCAAAAATACAAATATAAAATGAGCAATTCCACAACTTTATACATATAATAAAGTAACTAGTATTAATATCCATGTACAACATGAGTGTTAAATTAATTAATATATGTATAAATTTATTTCTGTCTAATACCAAACCTAACTCCAGCAAAAATAATATAAAAACAATATCACGAAGCATAAATTTTTGTCATGTTAACATTCGAACCGTGAGAATCTACTACCTAGACTCAACACGTTTTGAATTAATATAAGGATATTGATTTTTCACGTTCTTGTTGATTAACAGCATAAATAAATAAAATATATATAAATGCAAACAAAAAAAAAAAAAGGAAAGGACCCGTATGAGATCGGGGAATTTGAACCCGACGTGAATCGAACACGCAACCTTCTGATCTGGAGTCAGACGCGCTACCATTGCGCCACGGATCCGGATGTCATTTTATTTCATCATAAATTTATAACTTCGTAACCTATCAAATGAGGCTAATACAAAAGGAAGCCAAAGTCGAAAAACCAAACTAAAAATAAAAATAATAATAATAATGGAATGATAATAAAAGTAGTGACTGTATGATTTTTAGACTTGGGTTGTTTTAGCTTGTAACAAAAATTCACAATCATTATGATTGGTTTGTAAGATAGAAAAAGATAAAGACAATAATTATCAATCATACCCATTGTGAGATATGGAGTATTACTCACTTTTGGGATATTAAAATCTTAATATTTTGATACAAATTTCAAACCAAAACATCTAAACACCATTTGTAATAGAAGAAGAACTATTTTGGGAAATTGGTGATATGAAATCTTTTATCATCAGAAAAAAAATTTAAATAAATAATAAAAAAAAATTGGTGTTCCTAACTCATTAGTCCAGCAGAGTAGATCGACCGTGTTTACCATTCGGTTTCTTTAATAAAGAAATAAAATGCCAACAAAATCGATCATGTGTCGGTTATGAAAACGGGTGTAGAAAATCATTAATTGAAATTTTTACTTTGTTATTCTCCATAATATGATTCTTCCCAAAAAAACATGATAGTGTGTGCTATATTTGTCTTTAATCTTAGCTTGATGTTTAATTTATAATACTCTTTTATGTAGTATATAAATTTATTAACAAAATTAATGGGTTTTAACAACAGACCTAATTTATAGAACATTTCTTTTAAATGCGTAGCTACACTAATTTTCTAAATATTCGTAATTTAATCTTTCAAATGTTTGATTTGAATCAATTTTGTTTTTCAACTATAATTTTTTGTACTATCCGCCTGTAATGTATGTCCATATGTAAATTTGTAAGAAAAGTCCGTTATCTACCGAATTTAAAATTTTAATTTTCATAAATGAAAAGCATAGAAAATTGTCAAATATATTCGATGTCTGCTGGGACTCGGCAATGGGCCGAGGCTCGCTAGTCCTTGTTGGGCGCTCTACTAGGTTTCTGTTGTCGTGTGAGCCATGCAGCGCAATTTCGCGCGCTACGTAGCGCGCTATAGCGCATTTTTACCCGAAAACGCGACATAGCGTATATAATTTCGCGCAGTTCCAGAAAAGCGAAATTTACGCTATATTTTGTGCTATTTACGCTATTTGCGCTATTTCTCATGCTATTTGGGAAATCCTTATTTATTGGCAAAAAATAAATAATAAAATAATAAAATACAAAAAAAAAACATAGGGCACAAAATTGAGTAATTTCTCCCATGGCGAATTTGAGATTAGACTATGTTTCGTATTTCTCTTGAAAAAAAAAAAAATTTTGAAAAACTGATATCAATAGCTATGATTGACCTTTTCCAATGTTAGAATAATGTGATGTTTATGTTTCTTAAGCTCAAAAGTGAAATGAGAAGAACACTTCATTTTTTTCTCCAAATGATGAGGAGATGCATGAATTTGGTGGAATTGTATGAATTATTTCTTGTAGTGAAATTTTCCATAAGTTTGATAGAATTGACGATGATAGTTAAATTCAATTAGATAACACTGATCATTTTATAATTTTGAGCCTTTACTTTAAACACTAAGACTTTGATTGTTTGAATAATTAATATTTGAATTTCATTTTTTAGATTCAATGTTAAGATAATTTTAATTATTTATTCGCTTCTATGGTTAATATTATTATTTTTGGCATTAAAAGTCAATTGCTCGAATAGCTTACGCAATGCGCTACGCTATTTACGCTACGCAATATAAGGACCAAAACGCGACGCGTTGCGCGATGCGCGTTTTAAAACACTGGAGCCATGTAGTCCATAACCTATGGTTCAAGCGCTTGGGCAGGCAACCACAATCGATCACCTGACGTCGCATGGGACATCCAGTCACCTGGCACGACTAGTCAACACTTGCTTAGTTCTAAGAGCGGCCGATCAAGCTGGTTGCGCTATTCCCTATCAGACACGTTCGAAAATGTGTCATTTCATCTTGTGAACCTTAAAAAATGTCCATATACATCTATAAATACTACATGAACAAAAGTGCAAATGAGATGAGCTTGAGCTTATGATACTCAAACTGGGGTGTGAGCTCAGCTCATTAGCTGTAAGTCAGGTTGGTTGCATTCGTTCCCGACCACACATTCCAAAGTATGTTGTTTCATCCAGTGAACTTTGAAAAATGTCCACAGACATCTCTAAACATTACATTAGTGGAACTGTCAATCCGACTGGTTGTATCCGTTCCCAGCCATACACATCACCAAATTGTGTCGTTTCATCCGATGAACTTTGGAAAATGTTCATACGTATCTATAAATATTCAATTAGTAAAACCATAAATGAGATGACCTCGAGCTCATGGTATTCAAACTGGGTTTGAGCTGAGCTCATTAACAAATTGAACTCGAACATACCACCAAAATAAGATTTTTTTAAAAGAAAGATACTTGTAAAATAACAAGATATAGCCTAAATGCCAAATTATAAAAATAAAAATAGATTAATATCAAGGGCAAAGCTTAAAGGAAGAGTCAAGTTTTCTTTTTTTCTTCACTTTCTTGGAAATTGGGAACAGAAATTGCCGACCAACTAATGCATTTAAATTAAATTTAATTTTAAATAACCCTAGCTTTTAAATAAATTACTCTAGGTTTTGTTTAGTATATCACAAAAACACACACACACACACACACACACACACACACACACACACATATTTATACATACATATCTGTTCTGAAATATTTGATTATCCACCTATAATTCCCAGTCCCAAATCTCTAATCCGAAGCTTTAACATCCTATTTTTCTGTGGCTTAGAGTTTTGTTTGTTTTTTTTTTTTAATAATTAACCTCAAAAACAATAAAAATGTCCAACGACCCACCTCAAACGCCTATTTCCAAGTATTCTTCTTCTAATTACCCCAAACCAGAGGCCGAGTATCAGGAGATTATCCAAAACCCAGATATTTTCTTGAGCAAGCTTCAAGCTTTTCACGCTTTCTATGGCACTAAATTCAGGTTTTTTATTTTTTATTTATTTATTTATTTTTTTTTTTGTGTTCGAGTTTCTGCTTCTTTGGATTTGATTTTATTATTATTATTATTTTTTTTGTGGGCTCTTCTGATTTGGTTGAAAAATTCGAGCTTTCGGCCCTGGATGTGTTGTTTTCACGTTGTTGGGATTTGGTGATATTTTTTATCTGTCATTTTGCTGGGGTGTTTGAGTTTCTGCAATTGGTGTTTTTTTGGGAATTGTTAGAGGTATCTAGTGTTTGAGCAGAACAGTGTATTATATTTGAATTTGATAAATAGCTTAGTGAATTATTCAATTAGCAATTTGAAAAGTAGTATATCTTGCTTGTACTTTTGCAGCGTTGCTCGTGTTTTTCACTTGGATCTGAGTTATTGGACATGTTGAGAGTGTTCGCAAATCTAAACATTAAGTGATTCGTAGCTTCTATCTCGACTCGATATGTATGTGGCAATGTTTGTGAACTCAAGAACTCTCAGCTTCTTGCTGAAATTTCTAAAAAAAAAAAAGAAAGAAAAAAATGCTTGGTAGACTTTGCAAATACTCCTGTGTACTTCTAATATAGAAACTCCCCTTCTACACTTAGCAAATAATATTGCACTTTGGGGAAAGAACTTTTAGGTATTTGTTGAAATAGCTTGGTTCAGCTTTTAATTTAATGTTACATGACTAATGTCACAGAGAAATAACCAACTAAGAAAACGAATTGGAAGAAGGATCTTACTGGCTCATTGATATTTAATAACATGTATGAGTAATACTTCTTCACAAATCTGCTATATACGTAATGTCTAATGTTATAGACGAGCAACATGTTTACTTCCAAACAGTTATTCTAGATTTATACGTTTTTGATTTGTTCGTAGATATTTGTATGTTTTGGGATTATGTAAATTTCACTTTTTTTTTTTTGGTGCTGCGATATTTGTTGAGGAAGTTGGTAAAAAAAGCTATAATTGGCTTGACGTTAAAGAAGTATATAAGTTTCGGAAGGAATTTGGATGCCAACGGATTAGATAAACTTGAATTTGTTAATTACCGTGATCTCATATATTTTAAATCATCATTAGCATGCAATAGTAAGATCATCATAGTTGCTTATCTAGTGTTTCATGGTGTTAATAGCAGCAAAACGTAATATTAAAAAATAAAAGAGAGAGAGAGAGGCTCTGAGATATGGAAGATGCCATGATTTTATGTTAGTCTTAGAGTGAGTTCTTTTTGTACTATGGGTCCTTAATAATGGTGGATTGCTTCAGGTTGTCTGTGAAAAGCTTCCAGCACTGTATCATTATTTTTTGTTACCTGTATCTGTATGTTTTAGTTGTGTACGATTCTCCATCTTATTTCATTCACATGGACTTTTAAGGATTGTCATATGTAGATTATAGACAATGATATTTACCAATCTTTGGTCTTTTTCCTTTTGCTTATGTGTAGAGTTCCAACATTAGGTGGAAACCAATTGGATTTACATCGTCTCTTTTTAGAAGTGACCTCCCGAGGTGGCATTGAAAAGGTGCGTTTTTCTT